CTATCAAAAAGTTAGATTTATTTTCTTCTTCATGATTTTACTACATTTCTCGTAATACATCAGTCTTTTATCTATTTATTGAAAATAGTAAATATAGTATGTTTACGTATAGATATGAATGCGCATTTTTCTGTTTGTAACGTACATATGATTGAGATGAAACTGTGGTAGGTTATTATATAGAGAAAAAGCTACTGTACTGTTTTGTTTTTGCCTATTTATAGATTTAAATATGTTACCTACGCGTATTACCTATATAATATTATTTAAATCTATAAGAAATTTATTTAATTATTTATTTACTAGCAGAACCCGCGGCTTCGCTCACACTAAAACTACAAGAAAATCTATAAAAAGCTAGTTTCATACAAACTTTCATCCCCTATTTTACCCCCTTATAGGCTGAATTTCGAAAAATGTTAAAACACGTATTTATTTAATTTTATTGAAGAGCATTAATACCAAGTTTCAAGTAACTCTGATCATAAATATTTATTTGAATTGTATTACAACGTGTTTTCCCGTAGGAATTCCCCGCGGTAAAAAGTAGCCTATGTCACTTTCTAGCCCTCCAACTTTCTTCATACAAAAAATCCCTCCGTTTCGACATGAAAAAAGGACAAACAAACAAACACACTTTCACATTTATAATATTAGTGTGGATACGAATCTCCAACAGAATACATATTTTACATTTATAATACTACTTAAATGTAATTAGTGGTTTTTCCGTGATGCGGTAACAGACAGATAGACAGATTCGGCCTCTGTATCGATAATAATTTCTATTTCAATAAGATTTTCTAAAAAATATGTAATGTACAGATTCGACTCAGTTAGAATTTTATTATACCTACTAGCATTGCCCGCGGCTCCGCCCGCGTTCAGATGACCAAAAACTAAATTCTTAGGTGTTACATATTAGTATACTCTTACATTGCAGTTTTTGTATTTTTCCTCAGAAATAAGATATTTTCCCGCGGTAAAAAGTATCCTAGGATCGCGCGCTACATCGCCCGGTTTATATAGCTTGAGCAGGCGGTCGAGCGATGCGGGGCAGAGGGGATGGACTCGCCGTAGGCATCTCAATGCTCGCCAAGCATTAAAAATGTTTCGCTACTAATTACTTCTAACAACGATATCTCAAAAACTATTCATCTGATTGATTTAGTGTAAAGAGCAATTTTAATCTGCATTAAATGACTAAGCTAACTAAAATATTCATTTGGATAAGGGTTAATACCGAACTAAAGAAAATAACTTTGAAAATAACGTAATGTTTTTAATTAAAAATGTTAACATAAAAGTGGTTATTGTAAGTCAACCGTAAGAGATAGAGATATGCTATCGCGGACTTTTTTGTAGCATTTTTATAGATTTTGAATTCTCTAGTACATTACTTAACTGTATCTTTGCTAGTTTACGCGGCGTTCGCGTGGAAAGTTCCCATTTGGCGAGATTTTTTGCGACCTCTTCAACATTTGTCGCCGTATTTCAGCTAATTTACATAAAAGCATAATAAATTATATACCTAAACCTTCCTCAAGAATTACTCTTTCTATTGTTGAAAACCGTATAAAAATCCGTTCAGTAGTTTTCGAGTTTATCGCGTACAGACAGACAGGAGGACAGAAAGACGCGGCCGGGGGACTTATTTTTATAATAAGTATAGATGTATAGATAATATTGTGAAACGAATACAATTTATGTATCTGTAAAACTTTAATTCTTTACAAGTCGCTCAAATAAAATAAAAACGCATCTTTATTGCTTTGCGTACACCACTTTTGTTTTTTTTTAAATCACTAAAGTCAAAGTCGTTCAGTTCAATTTTCCCTGATATACACATTATCACTTTCAGATATAGAGAAATCTTTCCAAATCATTTAAGCAAATTACTTCTTATGAAATATTGATAAATATACACTGTATATAATATTAATAATATTGATAACCATCTTAACTCTGACATCTGAGTAAATATGTGGACTTTTAAAGTAATGAAGATATTATACGATGCCTGATAACAGCTAAGTGTCAAGGCTTCTAGCCATAAGAGCTAGGCCGTTACTCCGACTGATTAGGTACTAGGTATGCGTTTATATAAAATCCAATTATGATTAAACTTTGGCGATACGTTGTACGCGCGCCAGGAAAGATTTCTGATGTAGTTTTATCAACGTACGGTAAGTGGCACGTGAGTTTATCAGCATAGCTTGGGATACATTGGACTGGACATTAAAAAATACAACTAGTAAGTAGTACGTTAAATAAAACCTTCTATCCACCATGATTGTTGTACATCATTCGAAATGTAGAGAACCATAAATCAAAGTAAAAATCCGCAAAAATTATTTAAAATGTCAAATGTTCGCGCAAATCTAAGAAAGTATTAATACAATCAGTAATCAAGGTGTTATTATGTAGGTAATGGGTTTATTATTATATAAAACTAGCGACTCACCCTCGCTCCGCTCGGGTTCGTCCCTAAGTTGCTTCCCCATACAAACTTTCACCCCCTTAAGGAATGATTTCCGGGATAAAAACTATCCTATGCCCTTCCCAGGGACTCAAACTATATTCTTACTTTTCATTTAAATCAGTTCAGTAGTTTCGGAGACTATAAGATACAAACAAACCAAAAATAATTTTTTCCTCTTTATAATATTAGAATAGATAATATTAATGGTGGTAATAATTACATAATATAAGTGGAATTTAAAAAGCATTATAGCTCTTGATTTAAATACAAAAGTAGCTGATTTCAAACCCCTTTGGATTAAAATCCATAATATGTTCACTTTATAAAAAAATTTCATGCCTCAGTTACATTCATAGAATGCCTCTCGGTTTTTTTTTTTTACTACAGCTCACATGACACTTCAATTTCTCTAGTTAATTAATAGTATCAATAGGCTCCTAGTAAAATAGTGGTGGTCTAAGGCTCTACGAAAATAAATAATATACCTATATTATATATTTTTTATAACCATAAGGAAAACATGTATTATCTATGCATGGAATATTCTTGAATCTACAAAATCTTTACGAAATAATAGGGAACGACACTATTTCTAAGTAACAAAAATACAGATTAAAAATAAGTAACTTCAACTATATAGTGACGTCTCTTACGAGATTCAGTTAGTTTAAAAGCTTAAAAACTATCTACATTCACACGAATAAAAGAATTTGCCAAGTGCACTCGCCGTAATGCTGGCTGAATAGAATTTCAAAGTAGTTTCAGCTGAGCCTTATACGGTCTTAATATTAGAATGTTTAAAAGTCTAAATTTATTTCTTGAAAGCGTTTGCAATGTTGTGGTTATTAGATATTGTTTCCTTCCTAAATATCTAAAGTCTATTATATATAAGGATAAATGCAGGTCTGTCAGTTTTTTAACTTTTCTGTCCTTAAGCATTTGAATAGATTTCGATCATATTTCAATAAGGGCACATCTGAGGGACGGACATATATTAACTGCAACTAAACTTGGCCCGGGTCGGGCCCGAGTTGGGCCAAGTTTAGTCATTGAGTATTTATGTCAAGAAATTCTCAGTAACAGCCCGGAGTTGGGAAGTTGGCAGTGTTTCAGCCTCGTGCTTTAGAGAGCACGTAAAGCCATCCAGTCCTGCGCCCTAAATCTCACTGATCGTGTCAAGTATTTGTCCCACCGAAGTATGGGAGTAAAATTCGAACTACGCCAGACGGAACCGAACGTCACTTAACGCTTTTTTGTTATGTTATGATTGCTACCTGTTAACTTTTTTTTTTTTGTTGGGAAATGCATTTATGCATATCACCTGCGTACACATACAGGTGGTTATGTGAAACTCACCGGCTAGAGAAGCCAGTACTACCCACTAAAACCCAACACAAGGTCTCCCTCCGACTGGACTTCGCAGATCCGTCCGATGGGACTTCGCAGGATGAGTGCATAAACGATCCTGCGAAGTCCCATACCACGACACCCCGACGATAGTCCTACAAACCAAAAGGTGAACGCACATTAGGGAGAGATGTCAGATCTGCATCAAGTTTGTATGTATTTTTTTATTTTAATAAGTTATGAGACCTTAAGGAAAGGACACGTTTCATCCTTGCAAGATGTACATACTCGTTTGTATGTCTCCGACTGCATAATACTATATTCCATTGTGAACTTGTTTTCATCTTTTTAGTTAGCTTTTATGCAGTCGGATTTATTATTTTTATAATATATTTATTTATTTACAGCTTTTTAAGTATTTTTAAGTAGGAAAATTAGCGAGAATGGTTGTTAAGCAAATTTAAATCATTATATATCCTAAACTGTTATTTAAAATGAAAAATGATAAAAGAAACCTAAAAATGATTTTTAAATACCTATTCAACGATACCTACTTGATATAGTTCGTAGATTTTCATCTTTTTCATTTTCACATTATGGAATCTAGCAACTCCATATTTATTTTTTTATTTCACCTATCCAAGAACACTTGGACTAATGAGACAGATCTAACGATATCTTAATTAAAGAAATCCATCGGGTGGTTTGGAAAATATGAGGGAATTAAGAATATTACAAACAAACAAACATACAAAGATAGGCGCGAAAAACATAACCCTTTCCTTGTCGGGTAATAAATAAACTTCACATCACTTCTACAAAGACTGCTAATTAAGAATATCATAAAAAATATTATATTGTGATATATGTATTAATAAATTTATTATCTATATTATTATGATGTAAATTTGGATATTTCCATATTTAGCATGTTTATCATCTAATTTTATCACAATAATATTCTCAGTGACTATAAAAGTTCAAAGACTTAATATCTAATGTGTTAATTTTAAATTTAAAAAATTAAATCAATAAATAAAAACAAAATTACTTCGCCACTATCATTAAAGGCTCATTATCTGTAACATTTAATGATTGACTTGACACCGCACTTACTTTAGTATTAAATTGAAGGTAGACGCGTGCGCACATATTTTGTATAACATTTTAAATGGGGCATATAAAATTATTTTTGTTTCTGTTTCTGGCTGTTTTGGTTAGCGGTCAAGGCCCGAACCCTTTAGTGAGAGTAGCCAATGGTGTTTTGCAAGGGGTTTGGGAAGTATCTACTAATGGAAGAAACTATGCCAGCTTTTACGGTATACCCTACGCTCGACCTCCGCTCGGCAAATACAGATTTAGGGTGAGTTAAGTACAATAATTATACAAGTTTTTTTTCTTGATTGCTCATCTCATGGCCTTAACTGCATGTCACGTGTAAAGTGGCTATTTCAGAACAACAATCTTAAACGTTTCTAGTATTTCATTTTGGGGAATTATTACAAGGTACTTTTGCCTTCTGGCGCAGTAGCATGTCTTATTGGAGATTTAGCGTTTGATTGTTCAATGCCTGCCCTACACAATGCTTATGATGTTTTGATTTTGAAAGACTATTTTGAAATAAAACTATGTTTTTGGATTTTTTCACGGGTTTATTTAAATTTTTGGTTCCCGAAGTTTCAAATGCTATTATTTAATGACGAGCGACTCACCCTAGCTGCCCTCGGGTTCGTCCCTACTTACGTTTTAGCGTTTAGTATAGATTTCTCAGAAATGAGATATTTTACCGTAGTATCCTATATGTTGACCCGTATAACCAGCTATCGTCATACCAAATTTCATCAAAATCCCTGCTGTAATTTTTCCGTAATGCGGTAACAGACAGACAAATTCTAAAAATTATAGATTCGGCCTCTGTATTGATTAATAATGTCTATTTCAATAAGATTTTCCAAAAAATATTTAATGTACAGATTCGGCTTGGTTACAATTTATATGGATCGATTTTTTCAATTTGCTAAGTGTCTCAGCGCCATTTCTCTTTTCTTCTAATTAATGTAATATTTTGTAGACAGACGCCATTTTTATAATTAAAATAAATTAATACGACCAAAATCTTCATATCTCCCGTGACCATGGTTGCTTAATAATTAAGAGCTAGAGCTACTACATGAATTGCTCGATCTTGATTATAAATACTTATTTAGACGATAATAAGATTAATTAGTATTTTTTTTCTTTCACTTTTTAACCAATTATAAAAATGTATTAGGGTCGTATTATAATTTTTTTATAGTTTAAACAAACTAAATCTATAATTTTCAGTTATTTGTCTCTTTTTTCAATTGTACATTTATTACACTAGACGCTAGAATTTAAAACAAGGTCATCTCAATCTGTTTAAGAGATGTAAATATCCTTAGATTTACTCGAATATTTGTAATTTTAAATAAAACAATTTATTTTGGGATTTTTCCCCGATGTTATTTTGATTTTAAGTTCCTAAAGTTTCGAATGCTTTACAGCAATTATGGTCACGGAATAGACTAAGGTTCAAAATGTCTCAAAAGTATTATATAGTTGTTACTGACAGCTTACCCACAAATTAAGAAAAATGTCCTTTTTAACGTCCCACTGCTGGGCACGGGCCTCCCTTCTATACGAGGGCGATCAGACCATAGTCCACCACGCTGGCCAAGAGCGGTTGGGGGACTTCACATGTCTTTCGAAAACTTGCTAGGTTTCCTTCACCGTAAGGCAAGTGTTAATAATGTTAGAAATGATTCGCACATGAAAATATCAGAGGTGCGAGACCCGGGATTTGAACCCGCTTCACTTGGTTTCTCAAGCAAGCGCGTTACCACTGGGCTACCAAAACTCCTCTTATTTCTTAATTAATTTCTATTTTAACTTTTTAAATTATACAATAATGTTGCTTTGAATAATTAATATTTTATTTTCTTTGGCAGAAAAGATAGTTTTATTTAAAAAGTTTGTACCTCATTCTTACTTTATAATGAATGCCCTATGTATATAAAAACGAGTTGAGCTGCAGTTAACAACTAGTTTATAACCTTGTGATTTATTTCATTATTTCTGTCAAGGCTAATTGGCTTATTTATAGTTTGTCATTATTACAGTGGTAGGACCTCAGTTACAACTAATAAAACAGCATTTTTTTTTGTTTTGGCAATAATTATCGATTTTAAATAAAATGATCGGATGTCACTTTAGTCAATTCCAGTTCTACTCTTTAACCCACGGGTAAGGAATTATTATTTTAAAATTAAAAAAAATACCGAATGTATTGTGTACAAAATGTATACACGAAAACAATATATTCTATATTTTAAAGTTCACCCATGGGGGTGGAATTATATGCAAAAATACTGAATTACTTATATCGCATAATATAGTAATATATAGCCGAAAATTTTACTAAATGCATATGAAACTATATACGGTACTTGTAAGAAATACTCATTTTTTTTAGTTTTTGTCTGTCTATCTGCTTGTCTGTCTGTCCGTCTGTTTGTTCCGGATAATTTCGGACGGTGAACTGATTTTGACTGGACTTTCACTGGAAGATATCTGATTTTATAGGGAGTAACATAGGCTACTTTTATTTTAGAAAAAAATATGTTTCCGCTCGTTGGAATTTAAAAGAATAGGTTTCCAGCTAGGTAGGTTAAGGTACTTTTTTTGCATATCGAAACTCCTGCACTTAAAAATCACTATTTACACATAAAAATTCTTAAACTCAAAAATCGTTGGGATTTAAAAGAATAGTTTTAAGCTCGGTAGATTAGTACAAACCGACAATAGTCGGATGAATAATATATATTAGGGGAGCCCACGATGCTAAATGGGGATTTACTCGAGCGTCGTAGAGACCTACTGGGATGCAAAGCTTAGATGATAAGAAGAAAAAAATGTTATATGATTTATTACACTTTACATCGGTGGGGGAAGCGGCTATAGATTTTTAAATATGTAAAAAAAAACTGTTGCATAGACATCCTCGAGCGCGTCAGATATTGATAGCATCAATGCCCTACGTATTTTTAATAATGTACGTATGTTAATCTGATCGTTTGCATGATGCGGGTGGTTGTATTTAAGGGTTGAAAATGAAAAAAAAAAAAAAATTTATCGAGCGCGTCAGATTTTCTAAGGGAGTGTTAAGTGCACCAAAAAAAAGCTCTCATTCACTAATCTGACGATTTCGATGGGACGCAAACTCGCGGCCATTTTCATAATGTGCAAAAAAAAATCGCCATTTTGAAATACTCAAGCGCGTCAGATTAAGATATATATGGTTCATCTTTATGTTCTAAACGTACTGTCTCATAATCTGACGATTTTCTAGAGGGATTCGCCTGATCTGACAAAAAAAAGTTAGAAAAACGGTTCACCTTAAAGGCCATACCTGCAACTTCCCGCTAATTCCATTCCTGTGCGCTTAAAATTGTACTTATGACATTTTTGAGCTCAAAATATAATTTATGTGATATTTTGAGCTCGCTGAGTTCAAAGAAATAATATTTCTATGCATTTGAGCTCTCCCAGCTCGAAAGTCTGATAGAAGTTTCATAGAACACTATTTTTGGAATTTCAAACCGCAATAACTTTTGAATAGATCAAGCAATTTTCACACGGTTGACGCCATTCGATGCAGTTTTATCATTCTCATAAGTTATTTTCAGGTTTTAATTGATCGAACCAAAAATTTCGGAGTAATCCCGAAAAAACACTTTTTTCGGTTTTCTTTCGTTCACGATATCTCTCGAACGAATCAACCGATTTTGACCGGATTAGCGACGATCGGCGTGGTTTTTCTAGCTTAAGAGCGGATTAGTTTTTGAAGTTAATTGAAAAAGCCGGTTAAAAGTTATTCCAAAAAAACCACTTTCAAAAAAAAAATCTTATTTTTTTTGAGATTTTTCAAAATTTCTCAAAATCTATCGGTCCGAATCGGTTCAAATTCACAGGAAATCTAATTTTGAGGGAAATCTTTAGAACGCCGTTTAGTAGATTCCGATCGGTTTAGTCGTTGAAAAGATATAAGCGAGTCACACATACACACACCCATACATACATACAGACTTAGTGACAACATCATACTTCACACAAATAATATTAAAATAGCAAAAAAAGCCAAAACGTTGGAAACACGTTGTAAACAATATGCCACGAACGAGTCTTTATGATCAGCTGTGATGGCGTCATGGCGGCAGAAACCAGAGTGGGGACGGAGTGAGAGAGTAATAGATAGAGAAAGAGTGAGAGAGGAATAGACACACGGAGAAGGAAATGTAGGCATCACGCAGCTGCACGCATTTAACTTTATCGATGAATTTTTGTTATTTCGGCTTGCGGAAATCGTCAGATTATATATTTTTCATTATTCTTGAATTATTTCCTTCAAAATAAAAAAAAAATTAGCTACGCTCGAGAATGTCGAGATGACGTTTTTTTTTTACAACTTTGTTGCCCTCCCCTTTTTTTACGTCACTCTCAAATTGTCAGATTAGAGGAATATACACTTTTTAGGATGTAATTAACTCACCCTACCTTAATCTGACGCGCTCGAGAATTTCTGATGGTCAATTTTTTTTTACTAATCTGATCCTGTATCCTTCACGGGCGGCCTTATATATGGGCTTCATGTTTTGTGGAGGTACTTAACCGGGTACAAGGTATCCCCCTGTATATTAATCTGCCGCGCTCGAGTAACTACAGAAAATCCCCTCTTCGGCTCCCCTACTAATATTTTTATTCATCCGATTATCGGACGAATAGCCTCCTTTATTTATGATTCGTCCTATTAATTTACGAATAATTATTTTTTATTCGTCCTTATTTTAAGTACGAATAGAAACAGCCTAATTAAAAAGTGTGAATAAAAAAAAAATGTTTATAGCAGAATAAAATATTAAAATCAGTTTATAGCAGCCAAAGATATTTCGTAACACAGACACACTTAAAAATCTTACGTACACCTTAATGAACAAACTCCTTCTTCTATGGTTTAAAAGAAATAAGCATGTCTGTAAAGTCGAAAATAGACAATGGGACAACATATTACTAAATATTTTTATATTATATTGTCAACTCGCGACTCACCTTCGCTTCGCTCAGGTTCGTCTAGCATGTTTCCCAATACAAACTTTCATCCCCATTTTCACCCCTTTAAAAATAACCTTCCGGGATAATAAGTATCCTATGTCCTTCCCAGGGTCTCATACTATGTTATTACCAAATTTCATCTAAAATAAAGAAAATAAAGTAGATAAGGAGATTACCCCCTACAATGTCACAAACTCACAAACTTTACCTCTTTATAATATTAGTATAGATAGATTACTATTATTAACCACCGATTTATCCTCACCTCGCTCGGGTCTGTCCCTACGTACGCAGATTTTGTTCACAATTTTATTTTTTGCGCAAAGCCTTTATTCTTTTTTTATAATTAAAGTAGCCTAAGATGCTCCTTATAATATCAACTATCTGCCAGTGAAAATCCCGTCAAAATCGGCCTAGCGATTTATAAGTACATACACTTTCATATGCATTTAGTAAAAAGCTGTTATATTGATATTAGAGACAGACACTTGAATTTTATTTATTTGTGTAGATTAATTTTTATTTATAAAAGAACCATTTTTCTTCAGGAGCCGCAGCCACTGAAACCATGGCTCGGGACGTGGGACGCCACTAAGCCGCTCTCGGCATGTCTACAGTACGAACCCTTTATGGATAAAGTTATTGGTAAGTTTGTTGACGTATCTAAATATTTTTATTTAGATGAACAATGTTTTTATAAGAAATCAATTCTTTAAACCGAATTTATACAGTACTAGGGATGTTAGGTTTTGGCATTTAGTATAGATTTCTCAGAAATAAGATATTTTCAAGCAATAAAAAGTATGCAGTATGTCGACCCGGATAACCAGTTATAATCATCATACCAAATTTCATCAAAATCCCTCCAGTGGTTTACCGTAACGCGGTAACAGACAGACAGACAAAAATTCTAAAAACTATAAATTCGGCCTCTGTATCAATAATAATGACTATTTCAATAAGTTTTTCAAAAAAAAAATTAATTTACAGATTGGGCTTAGTTAGAATTTTATTATATATAGTATATATGTATTTATATGGTACGTATGTTTGTTTGTATTTTTATGTATCTTCAATAATGCATTTATTATACCATTTTTCCGTTTGCGATAAAATTTTGATGAGCTGTTTTGCGCCCGGCCACTTACTCGTATATATCTGACATAGTAATGTACATTGGTGCGGGAGTCAAATCAAATAACTTATTTCTCTTTAGGAGAAAAATAAAAATGTATGTGTGTGAAAGTCCTATTAAAGGACGAATACAAAATAATTGGAGGAAGAGCTCTTTATGTTTATCGTATTTTTAGATGATAATCTAGTTTTTGGCCAAAAATACAATTTTACTTTTAATTTAGCTTAAAAACAAAAAAAACGAAAAACTTGAATAAATAACACCTGTGACTATCAATCTTACGCCTTGGCCGTTTGACGGCCACAATACTTATGCCCGAGCATACCAAATTAGCGACCATATTTTGCATGGAATAATGTGAAAGAAAACTGCATGAAAACTCGAAAACACGCGTTTTCCCAGACTTAAGACTAATCTAAATCGATTTTTCACTTCCGAAAACCCCGACGTACTAAATTTCAGCGCAATCGTTAGTGCCGTTTCCGAGATCGCCGGTATAAATAAATATACAAGAATTGTCGAATAACTTTGGTGGTCTTGAAGGTGTAGGAACATCCAATGTTAATGTTCCTCTGTCTTATTTATTGCAGCCACAAATTGTAGGCCTTAAATTTAGAAACATTTCAGTTGTGCTATAGCTTAGTACGAAGTTAATCGCTAAATACTCATACGTAGACAAGCTTATCTAAGATAGCATATGTATATAAAATTATTATTAAACCTTTTTATATTTCGTTAATAACCATACTATCTGATTGACAAGTATTGCCCGCGGCTACGCCAATATGACCAAAAACCAAATTCTTAGGTTTTACATATTAGTATGTTCTTACATTGCAGTTTTTGTATTTTTTTCTCAGAAATGAGTGGTTTTTCTGTGATGCGGTAACAGACAGACAGAAATTCTAAAAACCATAGACCTATCTCTGCCTCTGTATAGATAATAATGCTTATTTCAATAAGAGTTTCCAAAAAATATCTAATGTACAAATTCGGCTTAATTGTAATTTTCAACCGACTTCAAAAAGGAGGAGGTTATCAATTCGACTGTATGCTTTTTTTTTTGTTTATGTTTGTTTCCTCAGAACTCCGTCATTTATTAACCGATTTGGACAATTTTTGTTTTGTTTGAAAGGGTATACGTCCAGATTGGTCCCATTTTAATTTCAAAAAAAAATACCACCTCTAAGGGTGGAAAAACAACTAATGATGAATTTAACCTACTTCTAATTGTCATATTGACTTGAAACTTTGCAAGTATCTCTATTTCCGTTGATAGTACAGTGGTTCGGTGTTGTTGACCTGATCTGATGGCAAGGCCAGAAGGTGGATAGGTGGAACTCTTCAACGGCTAATAGTAGATACTTTGAGTTTGGGCTTATTTTGTTTGATTTGGCAAGCCTAACACGTTAGAATCTTTACTTTGCTACTACTGTCTACACTAAAAAGGGAAAAATAAAAACTTTTTAACAAAAAAATAAAAACCGACTTCAAACAAAAGCACTAAAAAGTAAAAAATAACTGATTGGTAGTTTTCATTTACTATACATACCTAATCAAATATTTTCGAAGTCGGTGTGCTTTGGCTAAGTAATTAAAGCCTACCTATTAAATACATACCTAATCAAATATTTTCGAAATCGGTGCCATCCCATACAAAGCAAAGCACACCGACTTCGAAAATATTTGATTAGGTATGTATAGTAAATGAAAACTACCAATCAGTTATTTTTTACTTTTTAGTGCTTTTGTTTGAAGTCGGTTTTTATTTTTTTGTTAAAAAGTTTTTATATTATATGTATAGATGAAATGATAATATCTGCTAACCTTGTTAACAAACACTTTTCTAACTTAGGCAAAAATTTGGCTGAAAAGCTTAAAGATTCTACCCCCATTATGGCGGATAATAGTAGTTCACATAAAATATCCCCACCTGTAAATTCTTTTGCCCTCCTCCATACCGATCCACCTGAACTAAACATGATTATAAATAGTCTATCGAATGACTCTGCTTCTGGGTGGGATAACATTCCAACTTCATTTATTAAAATGGCCAAGCATATCATACCAATATTGTGTCATATCTACAATCTTTGCTTCACAAATGGTTGTTTTCCAAAAACATTTAAACGAGCTATTCTAACACCTATATACAAAAATGGAAATGGGGATAATGTAGATAACTACAAGCCGATTTCTGTACTTTCCGTACTAAGCAAAATTCTGGAAAAGTCATAAACAAACGCTTAAAACAATATCTTATTGATAACAATTTTTTATCAAAGAACCAATTCGGATTTAGAAACGAAATTTCCACTGAAGACGCGGTATTGGCTTTGACTGATGAAATAAGCAATCATTTAGATTCAGGTAACAAGTACGTTGGAGTGTTCCTTGATTTGGCCAAAGCTTTCGACACCGTATCCATTCCCATCCTTCTCGATAAGTTATACAATTATGGTACAAGAGGTATGCCTCATGCATTGTTGGCAGATTACCTTACCGACCGTCAGCAACTATTAAAACTCGGTGAACATGTACCTTCAAGTATCTCTTATGAAGTTCCTCAAGGTAGTGTTTTAGGACCTACCTTATTCCTAATTTATGTGAACGATTTCTGTAACCAAAGTATTCAAAATTGTAAAATATATACTTATGCCGATGATACCGCCCTCATCGTCAATTCAAAATCTTGGGAGGAGCTAAAATTTATTGCTCAATCTGGGATGCGTCGGGTTTCTTGCTGGTTAAGATCGAATCTATTGACGCTAAATATAAACAAAACCAATTATGTAACATTTTCAATTCGTAATACTACACAACCTGACCTCCATTTCAGTTTAAATGTACATACATGTAATTATCCGGACTCAAGTAGTTGCCTTTGCGACAAAATCTCTAAAACCGAAAAGATAAAATATCTTGGAATTATTATTGACCAGCACCTCACCTGGCGACATCATATAGAGAGCATAGTTGAGAAGATGAGGAAACTTATTTGGATATTTAAAAAACTTAGACATGTAGCGAATGAATCCACTCTTATTACCACCTATAAAGCTTTAGCGCAATCTATACTAAGCTACTGCATTACTGTTTGGGACGGTGCAGCCAAAACGCATTTAATAACTTTAGAAAGGGCGCAAAGATCTCTGTTAAAAGTGATGTTTTTCAAACCTTATATTTTTTTCAACTTTCGACTTACATAATAACTACAAATTGTTAACCAATCGCCAAATCTACATATTAAATTGCGTACTTAAAGTTCACCGTCACTTACCTTTTATTCCTAGTCTGATCCTAAAACGTAGGGGTAAGGCCGTTTGTCCTATCCCTACCAGTAAAACCAAATTTAAGAAAATGCAATTCAACTGTCAATCGGCATATCTTTACAATAAGCTTAACAGCAGACTTGACATTTACAGTCTTTCAAAAACTGAATTAAAACGTGTACTAACTAAAACTCTACTGACATTAAAACATAGTAAACTATGATGAGACTGAAAAATTGGCCATCAATCAAAACGTCGTATAATACATGTTCGAGCATCCCATATTTACGCACTTTTATGTACACATAGGTAACACGTGCACACACAAACACACACATACACATGCACACACACACACAGACAAATAATACCACACGGTTATTAAAATATACTATGACTTTCTATTCTGGTGATTAGTAAGGGTGGGCATTTAGACAAAAATAAATAGACTTATAGCTTACATGCGACTTTTAATTTTTAATTTAAATATTTAAGATTTCCCAAAGCACAAGTATGAAAAATAATTATAAATACGTTATGATTATTTTTTCTTATTAAACGTACCTATATTATTTTAGATATCTATACACATAATAAAATTCTAACTGAATCGAATCTGTACATTAAATATTTTTTGGAAAATCTTCACTATTATCGATACAGAGTCCGAATCTATAGTCTAGAATTTTTGTCTGTATGCCTGTCTATCTGGGAACGCATCAGGCAGGCCGGCAGGTCCATGTTGTTGTATCTTTCCAAGATATAAGCCAAATGACAATATAATTGAGCAAATGGAATGGAAAATATGGAATGGAACCTTCGGTGTGCGAGCTCGCACTTGTTGTATTTTTTATTTATCTCCTTAAAATCGAAACTAATGATATAAATAATCATTATTCAAGCATACGTGTCTTCACAGGAAGTGAAGACTGTCTTTTCGTCAACGTCTTCACACCAAAAGTCAAGACTGGGGCGTCTCTCCCCGTTATGGTATATATCCACGGCGGTGCCTTCATGTACGGCAGCGGCGATGGGTATGGCCCATCACATTTCATGGATAGAGACATGGTCGTTGTCACTCTTAACTACAGATTGGGACCTCTAGGTAAGAATCAATATTTAAAGTAATAAGTAATTTAATAAGTTTTAACTTTTTTCTTTTCTGAAAATTAACATGTACCAGTATATTTTGAAGGAATATAATGACTGGCACGAATGATCATAAGATTTCTATATCCAAAAAGAGTTCCGTGTTTCTTTTTCAAGTCCGGAAGCCATTATTTTACAAATTAGTTGTTTGAAAGCTACCACATCTTGAATATTAAAAGATTATTCTAATTAATAGTACCTAACATTAATTATAAATGTTCTTTCAAGTCGGCTTATAAAAATAAAAAACATTAAAAAAACAAAAGTAAATAAGATAGAATAAACTAGTATATGAAGAAAGTACTCGTATAGATTGTTAAGATAAAATAATTCTTTATATTACTAATATAATCTCTTAGATTTCTTTCTCTTAGATTACTTATAAATTATAACAACGAGTCAATTCCTTCATTTTACAAACGTAATGTATTAATATATTTAATTAAAAAGATCTTAACCTCTTGAAATTGAAAAAAAAAAGACTATATTTACATCTTGACACATGCAAAAAAATCTCGTGAAGGTCTATGAAATAAAAACACTCTATTTAACTTATTTTTCTTATACAGGTTTTCTGAGCACAGGCGACGACGTAATACCGGGTAACGCTGGACTAAAAGACCAGGCCTTCGCTCTTAAGTGGGTGCGAGACAACATCATGATGTTCGGAGGAAACCCCGACAGCATCACGCTGACCGGGTGCTCTGCCGGCGGCGCGAGCGTACATTACCATTATCTATCGCCATTGTCTAAAGGTAAGATAGACATTATATATATATATATATATATATATATATATATATATATATATATATATATATATATATATATATTAGCGACTCCTCACTTTGCTTCGGTTTCGTCCCTGGTGAAAAACAAAAATAAAACTGATTATTTTATTTCCTGCGTTTACATGAATTTTATGTAAATACAGGTGTTGCCCTATATCAGAGGATACAATTGTTAGTGCCGTTTTATTATTCCTTCTAAAGTTTACATTAAAAAAAATATCAGAACTGTTGATAAGTATCAACATAACGTTTTTCAAGTTGGTCAAAACAAACTTACGTATATACTAACTCTCGTATATACTAAGGTTTCCTATCCCAAGACTTCCCTGGAAGTTTCAAAATTAAACTTAACCTTTTTTTATTTTTTTACCGAATATCTGTTGCATCCAAAACATCTTTCAAAAATATTATTTGCAAAAAATATTCAATACACAATTATTACTCAATTAAGTACATTATACTTTTAGCCGATTTGTATTGTAGAATCGTTATATTGATCTTAACATACCTCTTTAGAATGTATACTCATTATATTCTTCTTTTATTCCGTTGCTTTCGATATAATCCTAAGAATTTCACTTTCTTTATAAAATAAATTTCCCCTTTGGCTTCTTTTGCGCGATAACGTGTAGCCTTAATTATTCATGGACGGTATTGAGCAAATGGTTTTTATCGCCAATAAACAAAAAAACATTCTTTTCACACCATGTGGAATAAGAATTATTATTATTATTTAATGAGCTATCTATATGTTGATACGTGAGAAAAAACTTTGTTCTCTTTTTTTAAGTATATTGCGCATATGGAGAGTATGAGTTTCGGCACAAGGTTCATATGGAGAAGGACTGCAAAAAGTCGAAAAGGTACTATTCAATTAGAGCCCAGAAGTCAGTGCTATCCTGTGGAAAAATAAACAGAACATAAAAAACCGCTATTCTTCCGTGGAAAAATATATAATGCAATGTGTTAGTAAAATATAATCAACGTTCAAAATACATGAAAGATGTTTTAAAATATTTCATAACCTGTAGGTTAATATAAGGTAAATGGTATCTTTTACTAACTTGCTTTTGCCCGCGGCTTCTCTCGCATAGATTATTTATATAATTGCTCAGATAAGCTACAGCGTAATGTTAGATATCTTCGTCAATTTTATACTACTATACAATATATAAAGCGTAGAGTTTGCTTATCTGCGCGTGCTAATCACCGAACCGAAATAAAAGATTAATATATTAGAATGCTTCTTCTTCTTAGTCGTGTACTTTTGGCAGAGTGGTCGTGTTGAGTCTTGCGCCACCGCTTCTCTCGTGATGCGATTAGAATACTACTGTAATGCTAAATAATTGAGCATGACTTAACAGAAATGGTACCGCCCTTTTTGGGAATTTTTTTACTACGTTAACGTATATGTTAGAACCGGTCATAATCTATCTGTGTACTAAGTTTATCTAAATCTCTCCAGTTTCAGCGTGGAGAAGTAACAAAGACATACAAACACACTTGCGTTTATTAAAGTAGTGTGATTACATAATGATATTTTTTCTTAATTTAATTAACAAAACATGTTTTCTTCCAGATACATTCCACCGCGGTATAGCCTTTAGCGGATCTGCGCTCTCATCATGGACTCACGCAAAGAAACCACGTCAAAAGGCCCAAGCTCTATCGGCCATAGTTGGCTGCCCTACATCCACTAACCAAGAAATGGCGGAATGCCTCAAATACAGACCTGGAGAAGTACTGGTGAAAGCCCAAGTCGAAATGATGGTAAGTTCCTCCATTCGTTCCTCTTTTTTCTAGTGGCTAGCAAGTGCAGCCGCAGTTCCAGAGGAGCTTGGTTCGAGACCCTAGTCGGGTTAATTTTAGTTATTGGATTATGAAATTCAGTAATAACCTGGAGTTTGAAAGTTGACTGTGTTACATCATTGTACCCTGTACCTGACCTCTTTTGACGAATTTCGAATTGTCGTCCCACCGGAGTAAGATGTCCTGATCAGTCAGAAAAAAAATGTTTCAAAATATAATTCAAGAAATACAGTTTAATTTAAATTCTGCAATGTTATATGAACAGCCTTTGGCTAAGTAATTAATACCTACCTATTAAATACATACCTAATCAAATATTTTCGAAATCGGTGCCAGCCCATACAAAGCAAAGCACACCGACTTCGAAAATATTTGATTAGGTATGTATAGTAAATGAAAACTACCAATCAGTTATTTTTTACTTTTTAGTGCTTTTGTTTGAAGTCGGTTTTATTTTTTTGTTAAAAAGTTTTTATTACGTTCAATGATCACCAGATTTTAGTAAATTACTTTCCTACTCCCAACAACGGTTCATAATTGCTTTATAAATCAATATAATTTGTCTAATATTTTATTAGTACTTTTCTTATACTTATTACAGATACTCCACTCGTAACTTATATGTTTCGGTTCCGCACTTGGAGCATTCGTAAAAGTGTAGCACACGTTCGACGAATGTGTGCAGAAAATTGCACCAGAGCTACTCGCACCTACAAATATATAGCAAGAAATATGCCTTGATTAGATAACAAATATTTATAACTTACGTATCTCCGCGTTATGGCCTGGTTGGTAACCACTAGCTAGAGAAAATAGAATACTAGTCATACGATCTCTCTGTCATACCACTTTCTCTTCTTCTAATCTATACAAATGACAGCGAAATGCCATTCACCGATTAATCAAGAAATCTTAAGCTATGGCAAGTACATTCCTGATAAGTTGTATCCACTAAGTAGTAGTAAAAGTATTCTTGACCCCTAAATAGGTAAATTAGGGGTTTGGAGCTTGTATAAAAATTCATTACATTCAAACTACACGGGCAGAACCACGGGCAAAGGGTTGTACTTTATCGAATCAACATCTTCATGTTCTCACGTTGAGGAAGTGCTTTATCTGAACATAGTTTAAAATATTGAATTTAATTACAGGATTGGAAATCTAAGCTGTTCACGGTCTTCACGCCTACTACTGAAGCGCCCGGGTCGCGAAACCCTTTCTTGTCACAATACCCCTATCTCTTGACCAAGTCCGGCGCCATGCAGCGACTACCGCTTATCATCTCAGTCACATCTGAAGAAGGATTGTATCCGGCTGCTGGTAAAAAACCTAAAATTATATACAATTTACACTTTCTTAGTTTGACACGAATATGTGACATTTTAAATAAAACTTTTTAGGGATTTTATTTTGATTTTTGATTTCCAACCTTTCGAATGCTTCAGTCTCTACCGAGACCATTTACATAAACTACATTTTAGTATAAATAGAAATTTTGACACGTCTAAGTAAGTTATGGTGTCGGCTTCGATTGCAAATTACTACTTAGTTTTTCCGTTTACTATAAAAACTGCTGGAATTGGAAAGCATGTAATCTACATCTACAAACATAAATACTAACTTGTCCATTACAATCTGCCAATCTTTTACAGTATATCAAAAAGATCCTACAACACTTCCGGAACTAGAATCTAGATGGGAACATCTCGCGAGCAACATTTTCGAATACAATGACACGCTGCCTTTAGACATGAGGCCCATCGTGGCGAAGAAGATCAAAGAACATTACTTAGGTGGAAGAGCTGTTGGTCAAGATACTTTCCCACAATTAGTCCAGGTAAGGTACTGGTGTAATTAGTTAATTTTATATGATGATGATAAAAAATATTTCACAGTTATAATAGAATCAACAGACTTTCATGTATTGTTTAAGTTTGATATATCTTTAAGTTCTTATCTTAACTGACCTACAATGCATTTTGTACAAGTGCCTTAAACGTATTTTATTAATTATTTTTCAATTACGCTATTTTCAATCTCTATAGACTGCAAAAGATACAGCGTTTGTTCTAACCCATTTACCATATCATTCTTACCTACAGGTATTTAAAATAGATAAATTTCCCTTTCTATAATGTCCAAACGAATTAAATGTTACAGATTTAATAAAATATACGTAGTAAACAATATCAATGCCTACTATAGCAATTTTTATTGGCCAATCTACGAGATTATATTGACATGGGCCATTAAATTACGAAACAAGGATAATTGAACAAAAACTCTACGAAGTTGTAAGCTGCTAAAGTGCTTACTGTAATTTATTAATGCGATATTGAATAACGCGGTTAGATCTTGCTACGTTACATGGGTATTTACTCCATGCCAACCTTACCTAAAGTTACAATGGAACGCGCCTGAGCAAAACGAGAACTAAATTATAAGACTCTTAATCCGACCTCTGCACAGACTCTAAGTACAAATTCATATATCCTTCAATAAATTTTCTGAATTATCTTTACCAGGCTCTTGGAGACCGCCTCTTCGTTGCTCATGTTGGACAGTTAGCTCAAATTCACGCACAGTCAGGAGAACCAACCTATCTGTATCGATACTGCTTCAGGGGACAGACGAGTTTGTCTAATGTAATGGCTAATAATGACAAGAATTACGGTGAGTTTTGTATTAAATCTAAGAACCCATTTGGTTACCCTTTAAGGTGCTTATAACTTGGTTTATTATAAAATGTTTCAACTAAAACCCTTTCAATAATGTTACCCAGTTAACAGGCTTAATGACATCATTTACTTCATAGTGTAACCCTTTTTATTAGAGTTAAATGAATAACTAAAAGGTTACCCTATCTACAGGGTGGCGATGCTTGATCAGCGTTCCTTTAAACTATAAGTAGTGTGAGATAATATAAGTCTATAAAAAATACCAATTTGAAAAAAATACCTTCCAATAAAAAAATGCATTTTCAAACAAAATCAATACAATAAAAATGGGCATTAAAATAAAAACCATTACATCATAAGTTTATCGACCTTAGCCAGAGTTAGCAACATCGCACTGTCCCGGCAAAGTTATAGGTACTTTACCAGCCCTACCGTTGAAGTAGAACAAAACTCGCAGAAGTGACATCGCATCTTGTAAAGTAAATAAAGTTATTATATAATGTGTTACGCAATAAAAATGTTATACAATATTATAATTTAAAATTATTTACAAAAAATACATATTACAACGAAGTGAAAAGAACCACAGAACGCGACCACAAACATGTACACAAAAGAAATTTTTAACGAATAGGTACATAACGAAAATCATTCCCGCTACTAAATCTGTTACAAAGAAAATAGTACACAAATATAGAATTTCTCTCTATACTTTATGGATTACATTTAAGTATCTCTCCTTAAAAAGAGGTTTCAGGTTAACCTCATTGATAGACTTATAAACGATGCGGTAACCCTTTCGATAGGGTTAATTATATAATAAGGTTATCATCACAAACGATTAATACATTCCATTTGCTAGAACATGGGTTCCACATTTAAAGGCTAACAAGGTTTTTCTAAAATCATTTTGAATGATTAACCATTTTATTAGGCACTCTAAGCCCCGAGTTTTACGGTCCCTGAATTTAAATCAAACTACTATAATTTAAAGCTATAGTTTGTTTGTGTTTGTACGTTCGTTCCTTTACACTGAAACAGATTTGGATAAAATTTAGTAGGCGAGCAAGAGTAAGTTGTAGTACTGATCAAAAATTTGTTTGTTTTATTAAACAAAGGTTAGTCCCAAATGAGAATCGAAGCCAAGTCCATCCCCAGTGGAGGCAGAACCAGCTTAAGAGCAACTACGTTAAGACGACACTGCAAATTCAACTGTTTGCTGTAAAGTTTCTAAACAGTATCACCTAAAGACTAAAATACTTAATGCTTTGGAGACTCTTAAACCGTTTAGCTCCTTTTAATGAAAATAAGCACTTAAACCGGGTCATTTGTAAACCTTTTCAACGTTTAATATGTAAACATTTGTAGTGTTTAAATTTGAATATTTTATGTGGGAGACTGAATAATAGAAATATTGTTGCTAGAAAGGAGAATAATGGTAAATATGTTTATTAAGCATTTAACATCAATCGTGTTTATGAAGAAATACATTTTCGTTACCAAAAATTTTGTTTTGGTATTTTGAAAATCAATGTATAATTTTATGGGTAAGTGCTGTCTGTAACAACGATATAATAAATACCATTGAGACGTCTAAAACCTTAGTCTCTCACGTGACCATGATTGCTGTAAAACATTCAAAACGTCAGCAACTAAAAATAAACATAAATCCGTAAATCCGCGAAAAAATCCGACGAGGTGGTTTTATTTAAAATGGAATAAATTATTTATTTTATCTAGTATGATACGAAGTGTTGAACTAACTACCTAGTATCTAATGCTACAATGATTTTTCATAATTTACTAGTAATCATAGAGAATAGAACTCTGCAAATAGATTATTATTTTATCGCTTACGGAAAACACTTGAGTTACTGAAATAAAATGTAACCTTTTTCTTTTCAAAAATGCTACACTAATACGTGATAACACGATAAGAAAATTTTATCATTATTTAGGTGTAAGCCACGCAGACGATATACTACTGGTCTTCAAAAGAAATGGAGAACAAACAAAAACAACACAAGAAAGAGAAGAGAAGAAAACAAATCAGGATGAAGTCTTCATGAGGGACGCTCTTCTTGATATGTTTGAAAGTTATATGACAGTTGGGTAAGCACTTATAAATTATTACTAATAAATAAAAATCGATTAATTTTCTCATTCAATTGAGCATAGATTACTTCGCCAATGGCATAAACAAATTATTTGTCACGAACTGATACAGGTTAAGCAGCCTCTGTACCTAATTCTACACTGTATAACCTAATTTAAGGATAAAAGAAGATATTATCTAAGATAATAATAACTCCTTGACTTCTTTCTGATCTGATTTAATTTCAGTTTTAATTAAATAAAAAATGACTTGCCGGATAAACAATATTTACCTTACCTTGTAAGATAATAATAATAATGCAGCATTCCGTCCAAAAATATTGTTGCAATTTCTACACCAAACATAATACAGTAAGGCTGTTGGTATTGGGTTTGAGTCGGACTGGAACACTTACTGTTAATTATGAACACCCTGTTCTTCGGAAAGCACAACAGCCGTCAGTTCAGCGCTTCATTTCTCTCCGATTCTTCCTTTTACTTTAAGAGAATGACCTCTCCCACATCGTTTATTTTGCTATACACCACGATGTTAACTAGTTTCTTTAAAAAATCTCGTTTTTTAAGTTTTATGTCCTTTCAGAGTACCACGTTTGCCAAATGCACCTGAGTGGCAACAAGTGAAGCCGGGTAAAGAAATAAACTATCTAGAGATAGCTGGACCTAATAATATGCAAATGAAGACCAGCGCGGACTTCGGACAGAGATCCTTCTGGGACAGTCTAGGGTTTATAGAAAATGAGAACTATAACGTTAATATTAAAGATGAACTGTAATTTTACAATTAATTATTATATATATGTATATTTTACGAATTCCGTCATTTAGAATAAATAAATGAATAAGATACAACAAAAAAAATATATTTATATTTTATAATCTGTTCAATAAAACAGATCAATAATTCAGCTCCCTGTTTTTTCTATCAGATATTATTATTTATTTTTCATATTACTTACAATATTTGAACTTCTTTTGGCGCGCTAGGAAAAAAATATTTTTAATCCAATGTGACGAACGTTACAAAGTAGTGATTTATCATTACCATTAGTGACCCTTATGATATATATGGGCATCAAATGAAACTGCTTAATATCATATAACATACACAATCATAATAAGCAAAATGACGTCATTGTAAATCCAATATGGCGGCCGCCGTAAAATGACGATTTATAATTTCCACATTCACCCCTATGTTAAGGGTATCAAATGAAAGTGCTTGATAAACAAAACACGATGAGCAAAGTAACGTCACTGTTAATCCAATAAGGCGGACGTCGCATAATGACGATTTATCATTACAAACTTTTATTTAGTTTCATCTGTCCCGGTGTCTGTCTGTATGTCTGTCTATCTGTAATCAAATCTTGCAAGTTTAATTTGACTAAACGTCATTCTAAATCCAATATGGCGAACTCTTAAAGATGGTGGACTATGTTTTTATACGTACCTCCGTAATATGGATATCAAATGAAAGGGTTTGCTGAGAAGAATACGAATAAAATAAAAATTTTGCAAATGTTAATTAGTTAACAATAATAAAATACTACTAGATGCTTTATCCTGGTAGTATAAAAATGCAAATTGTCACATAAGTTGACCTACAATATAAGATTGTATCTCATTATTCACGAAAGATTGTGAATATTTTGGATTGACTTAATTGACATAATATATACAACTCGTTATATCTACACAAATTTTCTTTTCCATTTTATTCTTACTTCCAAGTTCCAACTTTATACCTATTATAAGCGTTGTGTTCGCACAACAGTTATTATAAGCAAAATGTAATTTGTTTCAAAAGACAAGGCGAACTGGATCTGGAATTCAAGAAGTAAGCATTTGTAAACAAGCCAAGGTAGATTATTTAAGTAAAAAAACAACTTTGCCACACACAAACTTTCAAATACAACAGCCTTTTAACTTATTTATTATAATCTACATATTATAATAAAATTATGAGTTGAATCTGTACATGAAATATTTTTTGTAAAATCTTATTGAAATAGTCATTATTATCGATATATATATCATTTATAGTTTCTAGAATTTTTGTCTGTCTGTAAGTGCATCACGAGAAAACCACTGGACAGATTTTGATGAAATTTGGTATGATGATAGCTCGTTATCCTGATCAACAAATAGGATACTTTTCACTGCGGGAAAATATCTCATTTTTGAGAAATCTATACTCACCCTCGGTCCCTAGTTAGGAAATAAGTAAATAAATAATGATTAAATTAAAAACGATTAAATTAAAAAAATAAAAAACACTCCCAATACAATAGCCTATTAATTATTCAATGAGGCCATTTCAATGTGATTAAACATATCTTTGCAGAATTTTGTAAGGATTTAAGTATCTTGCAGATTCCAAGGTGACGCTGCAGCATCAGACCAAAGTTACCATATCGTTGCAATGTCATTTAAGTAACGGAATACCAAGTTTTGGATCGATTACATCTGTTGCTCATATCCTTTTACTGTCTAGAAAAAAACTGATGCCTGCTAAAAGCTGAACGGTTTTTTCGACTTAAGAACACTCTCGGTGACTTGATGACCTTAAGGATCTTTCAAACAAAAGAAACTAAATTAAAATCGGTTTATCCGTTTGGGCGTTAGGAAGTCAGATACATAGATACACACATTAAGTTTATAACACCCCTGTTTTTGCGTGGGGGGTTAATAAAAACTTTATTGCTTCGCGTACACCACTTTGGCAGTGTTTTTAGTAGTTTAAAACAGTGGTAAAGCGCACGCTTGGGAAACCGAGTGAAGCGGATTCAAATCCCGTGATCTCTGATATTTTCATGTGCGAATCATTTCTAACATGATTACCACTTACCTTACGGTGAAGGAAAACATCGTGAGGAAACCTGCATGTTTGAGAAAAACCTAGCAAGTTTTCGAAAGACATGTGAAGTCCGCCCGCACTTGGTCCTCGTGGTGGACTATGTCCTGATCCCCCTCTTATAGAAGGGAGGCCCGTGCCCATCAGTGGAACGTTAATAAGGGCTGAATACAATTATACCACTTTGGAAAACATATTTTTAGAAAATCACTATAATATTGATGTTGAGTTTGATTTACCGTGATATATAATCACTTTCTGACGTACACAAAATCCTTGCAAATCATATAAACAAATTACTATGTTATGAACTATAAATAAACATATACATCTATGTAATAATATTTATAACAATAACTCTCTTAGATCTGGTATCTGAGTAAATATGTGGGCTTTTAGAGTAATAAAGATATAAAGTGATAACAAATAACAGCTCAGTTTCTAGCCCTAAGAGCTAGGCCGTTACTCCGACTGTGTAGGTACTATGTAATTAGGTATGCGTTCAAACGAAATTCAAATGATGAAACTTTGGCGATAAATTGTACGCGCGCCAAGGAAGATTTCTGATGTGTAGTTCTATCAACGTACGATAGGTGGCGCGTTTTAAAGTACCATTTTGTATAGACCCACCACATTATATAGACTAATGTATTGCCTTCATTTTTTTTCAGGCGTTTTCCGATATTATGTCATATGTGGCACAGACTGTGATTTAATTTTTTTTGTTTAGTCGTTAAAGTTTTAATTTTAAATCCCAGTAAAACCCACCTATATGCCCATAGCCCGTAAGTTTTATGGCATAGTTTGCTTAAAAAAAAACAATCATTACGTGAAATAAAACCTTCTTTTCACAGTTCCGGATCATAAACATACAATGGACTGAGCAATACCCTCCTAAAATGCGCCCAATGCCTGTCTCATTTATCTATATCTACATATAATAAAATTGTAACTAAGCCGAATCTGTACATTAAATATTTTTTGTAAAATCTTATTGAAATAAACATTATTATCGATACAGAGGCCGAATATATAGTTTTTAGATTTTTCGTCTGCCTGTCTGTCTGTCTCTCTGTCTGTCGTTACCGCATCACGGGAAAACCACTGGAAGGATTTTGATGAAATTTGGTATGATCATAGCTGGTTATCCGGGTCAACATATAGGATACTTTTTACCGCGGGAATATGTCATTTCTGAGAAAAAAAACAAAAACTGCAATGTAAGAGTATACTAATATGTAAAACCTAAGTATTTGGTTTTTGGTCACCTGAACGCGGGCGGAGCCGCGGGCAAATGCTAGTATATAAACATTAAGTGATAATATACAAATTTAGAGATATTTATTAATAAATATATAAATATCTGAACATACAAACACAGAAAATATTTAACATAACTAAACTATAACATATTAATATGGTAACGTGTAAATTCAACAAATATTAAGTAGTGCGTAAACAACTTATTAATGCAAAAGTATAATGGATTTTGTGTTTTTTCTTATTTTCCATTATTCAGGAAATTCAAAAAGGAAAGGTGACTTTATCGTTTTTATCGATATCATTGTAGTACCTACATACATGCTCGTCTGTTGAATATGATGAATTATTAATTTTATCACTCTAATTTGCATTTTCCATTTTAAATAGTATATTTTTGACGTTCCATCTGCTATTGCAAAGCTGCCCCAGATTAGACTTAGCCCCTCTAGCTTAGCGTAGACCAATCACAATTCTAGAAAGAGATAACTACTGGCCGCACGATCGCTTCGTCTCTCTTGCACTTTTCTGCCCGCTTTTATTTTACATCTGGATAGGGAACGCTCAGTCCATTCTCTGTCTATGGTTTAACTCAAAACCCTTCTAGGTTCAAATTAAACAAAGATGTATAAATACATACAGTGCCATAACTTCCGCTTTCATGATGCAAAGTGTAAAGTATAGAAAGAGAGTTGTATCTTTAATCCTCCTTAGCTTTTTTCTCTTTCATTTCCTCAAAATAATTTTTGACCGACTTTAAAAGGTTTTTTCCATTCTGCTGTATTTTTGTATGTTTACGCGATATCTTTCTAATTGTTAATTTATTTTAATTAGGTGTTCTTTTACTGCTGGGGAAACCGGTGAGACTCCTATTGATTAAAACCCACAGCGGAACCTCTTTCACCGCAAATGAGGCGTTAGAATAGAAATTATTATATATGAAAATTTTCCTGCCACATCCTATTCAAAAATATCCCACCTCCACGGCCATGTTGAACATCAAAAGCAAAAAAAAAGGTTTCCTGCCAAAAAGATCTACATGCATTACTTATCCTTCGATATCTACCTACAAAAGATAGCTTTTATATAAAAATGAACCATTGTCTTTTATGTATACATATCAAGTTTTTTTAGAAAATTATAACGTACATAATATTCTTTATTAAGTTTTAATATATAATTCGGCGACTTGGTGTAATTAATAGATCAACTACTAAACTACTACCTGTCTACTGCGCTTGTCTTCTTCGCTTGTCTTCTTCACTTGTCTTCTCCTCTCCTCTCCTCTCATTCTCTCTCCGCTGCTCTCCTTCCTCCCCCTTTTCTCTTTTGAAAAAACATTATTATAACACATTTACATTTATTTGTTTGTTTGTGTAACTGTTTCTTTAACTGTTTGTTTGTGTAACTGTCAGTAAATTTAACTGTCAGTTAGATTAACAGTAAGTTAGATTAACGGTTAGTTTGTTTAGCTGCCAGTTAGTTTATCTGTCGGTTAGCTTAAGCTAACCAGTGACAGTTAACTGTCAGTTAGTTTAACTCTTAGTTTGATTAACTGTCAATTAGTTTAACTTCTTTTTAAAGTTTTAACTTTTCTTCTTTAGTTTAAGTTCTTCGCCTGTCTTCTATATTTCTTATTATGTCTCTTCTCTTTCA